TTATAGCAGGGTTTGGGGTTGCTGTAGGGCTTGGTGCGGTGAGGAGTCGGGTAGCGACCCATAGCGTGGTATCTGTCTTGGAGTTTCTGCAATCGGGGGCCGATAAGGAGCTTTCTATCAGCACGCTCAAAGGCCAGGTTTCGGCTCTCAGTGTGTTTTTGGAGACGCCCTTAGCCGGGGAGGCGCCAATAGTGAGATTTTTTTAAGGCCCCGACAAGGCAAACACCTCCAGGGTCCAGGCCTTTCCCGATGTGGGACTTAACAAAAGTGCCTGGGGTGCCGATTAAAGCCCCGTTCGAGCCCTTAGATTCCTGCCAGATAAGAGATCTTACAATTAAGACAGCCTTTTTAGTGGCGATTACCACGGCAAGGAGGGTGCGCGAGCTAGAAGCCCTATCAGTCAGAGCCCCCTATTTACAGATTTTTTTTCGGATAGAGTGGTATTTAGAATGGACCCGTCCTTCATTCCGAAGGTGGCCCGGAGGTTCCGGAGGGAGCGGGATATAGTGCTACCCTCGTTTTTTTTCCTGACCCGGCTGGGGAAGTTCAGGAAAGACTACATTTATTAGTTGTTAGAAGGTGCGTGCCGCGGTACCTTGAGAAGACGAAAGGGTTTAGGAGCACGGAACGCCGGCTGCATTCTCAGGTTGCCCCGATGGCATGAGACTGCCCGAGAAGGCCGTGAAAGGCAGCGGGGGCATCGTCTCCCGCTGCTTGGAAAAGCAATCCTGCAGCTAATTAGCCTCTAGGATTGCTTTTACACGAAAGCAGATCGCCGGCTGAAAAAAACGAGACCGGGATGATGTCTGCAGCTGTAGGCATCATCCTGGTATAACCATTCAAAGTCCAGTGAAGCACCAGTACGTCGCCGTACTTGTTGGGTATACAATAATACCTCGGATTACAAATTAAATTCGTTTTCTGCAGAACATTTCGTATAGTGAAAATTTCGTAAACCAAAACACCGTATCCCATAGGATTGCACTGAAAACCAATTAATCCGTTCCAAAGGTCAGAAAAACAGTAAATGCTACTAAAATACCACATTAGTTATTTTATTAACTCGCCTGGTATTTTAGTAGCGACACCCACTTGTTAATGTTTCAGCTGTCAGCGAAGTTCCCCACTGACAGCTAAACGTAAAGAATTGCTGGCAATTAAAAAAAAAAAAATTTGGCCATTGCGAGCAATTCTTTTACACTCAGCTGTCAGGTGTACGTTTTTAAATGTAATTACAGTTTTGTTTTTTTTTTTCATTTGCTATAAAGTAGTTCAGAAATTCATCTGTCACTTTCCCCCTCCAGAGAAAGTTTCTTTTAGTACATTTCACCAAAAGAAACAATGTTTCCCTTCGGTTTCTTAAAAGATACAAAGTATCCTTTAGCTTAGGGGAAACTGACAGCTAATGGTGTGAGCTATAGTGAAGAAAAAAAAAAAAAAAAAAAAAAGACGGCTATTGCATTTAAAAATCAGCACTGATAAACACTTCATATTTTGAAAAACATTTGTAAATAATTTGTAAACTGAGGCGCGATTTTCATTCGTAAACAAAAAATTACATTAACAGAGGTGTTTGCAAACCAAAGTATTACTGCGTATGCTATGTTCCTTTTTTTTGGGTATGGAGCCTGTGGACTGAATGGAAAAAAAAGAGAAAAAATCTCTGCCAGAAAAAGTGTGCTATGCCCACCGTTAGAATCTACCGCCCTGCGTCCACCCGCTTCTAATGGTGGGCACGCATTATGTCGCGCGGTGCCACATGCGCCAGTTCCAAGATTGTACAAATGTCTAAATAGTGGCACACTTGAATAAAAATTGTCCACGTGTAAGTGCTACCCCATGTGGAAAAAGGTTGACGCCGAGTCCCAAACTATCTTGCCGCTGCTCCTCGTGTAGTCTGGCCATCTGGGGGGCTCTGCGTGACTATCTTTTCCCTGGCAAGTCCCAAACTTATAAGTATAGCCTGTTGTCCTCTCGCAGATCTTCTACATCTTGACCCCATATCTGGCACGCTTGCTGGGGAGAAATTGTTTGAATGTAAGGTGGCCAGAAAAATTACTCGGAGACTCGTCGACGGAGATGTTTGGCTGGCGAGTCTAGACATCTGCAAATTTTTGGTTAAGGTGATTTGCGAGGGGCTAAATTTTGTGGAGACGGTCTAATTCAGGGTCACCCCTAGGACGACGGAGTGTACTGTCGTTGAAATGCATAATATCTATGCCTGGCCGTGGCAGCGGAGAACACGGGCATAGGATGAATCGGGTCTGTGGACCAATACAAAGCAATTCATTTTTCTTTTTGGAGTAATGCCCATGTTGAGAGTTAGGGCCGCCAAATATTTACATTCCGAAACCAGAACGAGTTTCCATGCAAATGGTCTGGCAAGGTTGGAATTTGGGTTGGTGGCGAGAAATTGTTGTGCGTATAAATTGATTTGATCCACAAGCAATGCAGACAGTTCTTCTGTGAAAAAACGGATAAAAAAAAAAACAAGGGGAGCAGTTAAATTTGCTAATTCCACCTACATTCCGGGTTGGGTAGTGAATGGGGGAAATATGGGCGCTGCAGAATTTGTGGGCTGCCAATCGGGATTTGCAAGCACGTCCAGAAGGATGCTAGGGGCTCTACGGGCCTGTGTGCAAATTCTTGATGGTTGCCGGATAATACTTGTGCTCGCCGCCAAACCGGCTTGTACTGCGCTTATGGGACTCGCCACGTCGCCGAGTGATACCGCAATGCCGGTATTGTTATTATAATACAGGATTTATACGGCGCCGACAGTTTGCTCAGCGCTTTACAATATAAGGAGACACAATACAGCAACAATACAGTTCAACGCAAGAGGGTTAGGAGGGCCCTGCCCCTTGGAGCTTACAATCTAAAAGGAATGTGAAAGACCAGGATGTACTAGGCCGCTAGTACTCGCCGCCGGTTCACCAAAAGGTAGCCTGGCACTAGTACCGGCACTCTGCTGCATATGAGAGTTATCTACATTTACCGCCAAGTGCTAACAAAGATCGGACCTGATTCTGCAAACACGGTGGGTTTGGTGTGCGATGTATCAAGTGACAGTGACCTACTGACACTGCACTTGCTGAGGGAGAGGGGGGGGGGGGAAGCATAGGGGCTAAACGCAGGTGCTGGAGGGTGCCGGGGCTGATCCCGCTAACGCTGCGCTTTTGGGAACGCTATACTAATGTGATCGCTGGTATAGTGCTCATCTGATCAAAGATATTGATCCAATCAGACACTATACTAGCAATGGAGGTTTATTGTGTATGAGCGTCTTCCTGGCAATAGAGGAGGTTAAATGTGATGACTGATGTACCGACGAGCAATCTGACTATCTGGGAGGGCCGTGAAAACCACAGGAGCGCAAATCACGTACATATATGTGATTTTTGTGCACCCCGTGCCACCCTGTAGCAGTATATACTATAGGGCGGTCAGGAAGCGGTTACTTTAACTGACAACTGTGCGGTCATACAACGCTGCACCAAAATCACATTTCCATACTTTTTTTCCACATGAATTAGACTTTCTTTCAGTGGTATTCGGTCACCTGTGCATTTTTTACTTTTAAAAAAACAAAAAGTAAACCAGACAATTTTGAGAAAAAAAAAAAAAAGTTTTGGACTTTTGGCCCACACATATCCGGTCAAAAGATGTCAAAAATCACAAGTCATCATAAATTTCAACCAAAATGTATTCTGTGACATGTCTTTGCGAAAACAAACAAACAATGCATGTATTTAACTGGTTTACGTGAAAGTTATAGCATTTAGAAATGGCGATATAGCTACTGGATTTCTTTTTTTTGGGGGATATTACAGAGGCAATCAGCGACTTATGGCGGGACTGCGGTGAACATTCTGACACTGGGAGGAACTGACTTGGGGTCACTGACATCCCCAGTGACACCAATACAGTGATCAGTGCTAAAAAAAAAACAAAAAAAACACTGACAGTACTAATGGGACTGGAGAGGAAGGGGTTTACATCTTTAGGCAATCAAAGGGTTAAATGCGTGAGGGGAGTGTTTTACTAGTGGGCGAGGGGGAGGGGTGTGCTTCACAGGAACACACTGTCCCAGAAAGCTTTACTCTGCTCTCCAAAACAGTGTGCTGGAAACTCACAGGGACCAGAGCTGCATTGACAACAATGCAGCTGTACTCCCTGTCAGTGTTTTCCAACAATCGCAAAAAGGGACCCGGTGATTGACAATCGCAGCCCTGATCGGTGATGCGGGCAGTCCCACGCGCACCCCCCTACCGTGTAAACAGGATGACGTTGAAAAACGTGATCCTGCCTATAGGGGCCGCTTTGCTGCAGTAAATGTACTGTGGGCGGTCCCCTAGTGGTTAAAAAAAATCTACTGAGCTAGCCAAAACCAACTCTTGAGGGAGTCTATTCCACATTTTTACAGCTCTCACTGGGAAGAAGCCTTTCCGTATTCAAAAAATACATCTCTTCCTCCAGACATAGAGTGCCCTCTTGTCCTCTGACGACCTTAAACCAATTAACTCTACGCCGAGTTCACTAGATGAACCACTGATGTATTTATACATATTGATCATATCCCACCTTATGTATTATACATACATATTATAACCTTACATTTATCAACATTAAACCTCGTTAGCCACATAGTTGCCCAATTACACAGAGCATTGAGGTCGGCTTGTAAGATGGAGATGTAAGGATGTTATTTCACTGCACAGCTTAAGTGAAATGGTATCTTTAAGCCCAGACCCTATATTGTTTATAAATATATTAAAAAGTAAGGGTCCCAACACTGATCCTTGGGGTACACCACTGACAACCCTAGACCATTCAGAGTATGAATCGTTAACCACTACTCTCTGTAAATGGATCGAAAAATGGCTGAAAGATCGTATTCAAACACAGACTGAAAAGCTATAAAGAAGGATATATATATATATATATATATATATATATATATATATATATATATTAGATATTAACATGTCAAATCGCACCTCTTCTTTAAGATCATGAAGTTCGGTAGAAATCTTCTGCAGTTCCTCTAAATGTTGATTGTTCTCATTATTTTGGTCAGATTGATATACACTAGAGAAAGCAAACAGGAAAACGTCACTTACGACAACACAACTCAAACCGTACAGTGATATATGCATAAAAAACAGTCCTTATTTAGAGAAATCCATACAGGCAGAAATAGTGACGCTGCATCTTTTGACTTGCTAGAAGGGAATAAGTATGACAGCCTTCAAGCCTCCATCTTCAAAGTGGAACTATGCTGTGTCTGAGCACAAAAAATTACAAGCGCTTTTTAATTCATTTTTAATAATCAAATGCACACTCCCCCATCCGTCAACGTCTCCATGCTCTATGTTACTGAAAAATCACTTTCCTAGCGTATCTGCCTAAGACCATCTTGAGTAAGGGCAAAGAATTCATGTAGCATTTACATCCCGAAATCCATCTGCCCAACTCAGGTGTGCAGACGAGAGGGTGTGCTTAGCTGAGAAAACCCCCTCCCGCTCTCCTGAGGTTTCCTGTGACGTGCGACGTCGTTTACCCAAGTCTAGAAACGTCATCTTGTACATATTCTACAGCAGGAGTAGGCAACCTTGGAAAGGTGCAGATCTACCTGAACAACATGAAAGACATCTAACATCATCGGGGTTCAGCACTTAAAAAAAATCAAGAGCGAGGCCTAATTAAATAGCAAGTAAAATGTAGAAAAATGTCATAAAACAAATGTCACTGTAAAAATACAAACTTTCCCCTACTGACACCATCCACTGCTCTACTGACTGCCCATTGATAAGGTAGGCTGAGGACAATGTCAGTAGGCCAGTGGATGGTGTCAATCAGTAGGGCAGAGGACAATGTAAGTCAGTAGGGGGCGGTGGACGGTGTCAGTAGTTTTTATTTTTACATTTTTTAAACAAAATATTTTTCAATATTGGTTTTTTTTAGGGGCCCTGTTGAAAGGGGAGCACTTGATAGGCAGCATTAAAAAGGAGAACAAGGCAGGAAGGGGCAAAGAGGACACTGCTGGTGGGGGGGGGAGGGGGGTTAGAGGTCACCGCTATGGGGGAAAGGGTAGCACAGAGCATTGCTAGGGGGCGATATGAAAGGCGGTAGAGGACACTGCTATGGGGGTGGCCATGCCCATAGCAGTGTCCTCTGCCAATCACCTTCCCCCCCATAGTAGAGGCCACTGCTATGGGGGAAAGGGGGAGAGCAATGTCTTTGCAGCTGATAATAGGTTGCTAGGACCAACCTAGCAACCAATCACCTGCGGGTCAATATTAAAAGTTAACTTGGCCAGCTCCTCCTCCTGCCCTCCGTTCTGAGCCCTGCTGTCTTATTCTCAGTGCACAGCGGAGAGCAGGTCAGCAGCAGCGGAGGAGGCTGGGGGAAAGGGGAAGGGGGGGGACCGGCACCTAAAAGGTGGGGGTTGGCAGCGCAGGTACCTGTTTGCGGTCTACCCACGGTCGACAGGTAGACTGCAATCGACGAGTTGCTGACCCCCGTTCTACAGTTTACTAAATTTAAAGCGGGACTTATGCAGGCCATAGACGGGCCGTTTATCGGCCGATAAATGAAAAAACGGTCCCTGCCACCAATGTCTACGAAAAAACGGCCGTATTTCGTGGATTTTTCCAGCACGACCGATACAAATGAACAAGAAAATCCGTGACAAACGGCCGACGGCATTGCCCCACGTGAATATCGGCCAATTTTTCATGCAGACGAAAATTCGGCCGATAAACGACCCTGTCTATGGCCTGCATTACTGTACAATGCAAGGTCCACTTATAATGACTGACCCCCCTCCCTTCCTTAAGTTGGTCATAGATGAAGAGATTCCCCTATCGACACAGTCAGTGTTGATGGAGGAATCCCTCCCATTGAGCCATTGCATTCTCCCGGCAGGAGGAGCTGCCCCTGCCAGGAGACACAGTGATTACGGATTATAGCTGCTAGCAATAATTGCATGTAAAATCTGACAGGCTGGTTGCACCCCCAAATAAAATTATAAATGCTCCACAGCGCAAATCAATTTAAATACATACTCTGAAAAAAAAAAAGTCCAAAATAAAGTCCAACAACATTTTTTACAAAATATATAAAAAGTGCTCAATCCCAACAAAAAAAAAAAAATGTGCTCATTCTTCAAACAAACGTGCTCACGCTATCTGTGATTAATGCTCACTCACCAGACGGAATCAAGATTGTGAACCTTATTTTAGAGTATTGGTCCAGAATAGATTTGAACCTTTGATGAATTGGGATCAAACATCATCACAACCTTATCAGTATCCCCATGGAGGGGATTTTCAGAGGAGGGATTATGGCGGTCCCCCGTGGAGGGGAGGGGGTGTTTCCCCATTCAGGGGGAGAGGTGGTCCCTATTTTCCTCCATTGAGGGGAAGGGGGGGTTGGAGACCAGGTCCTCCAAGATCAAATATAAACCCTTATTATGGAGAAAGAAAAGGAGGGGTTGTATGGGGGGGGGGGGGTAGGGGAAAAAAAAAAAGAAAAGAGATTTAAAAGAAGGGATTTTCAACCTAAGTGATCAGCAATTCAGTGAGGAGGAATTGAGAGTTCTTGATTTGGGACTTAAATTTGCACCAAACAATTGGATAAGATAACTTGTGCGGATGTACAGAAATTTATCAGAAGGATTAATGTAAAGATATTTAAAAAAAAAAAAAAAAAAAAAAAAAAAAAAAAGGAAGGTATTTTGAAACAAAAAAAGGATCTTATGATAAACAGGTGTAAGTATATGTATTATATATACAAACGAATTTGAGAAATCAATCAGTATTCAATCCCAAAAATAATAATTTGGGTGTGGACACTTTTAAAAAAAATGGTTTTAAAGTGATTTGGAAGCTCTCACCATCCCTCGCAGTAGGAATAAGAAAGATATTTTGGATGGTTTGGATTTATTGGAAAAAAACTAAAATATTGTAATTAGGCCAGCGGATAAGGGGGGGGGGGGTGGAGGGTTGTTATTTTGAATAAAAAGGATTATGAGGAGTTGGAAAGATTGGTGAGTGATCAAAGTACTTATGCTGTATTAAAGGGGAATCCTACTGGTAAATATAAGGCAAAATTGAGGAAACTTATAAACAAGGGAGAAAAGGAAGGTATTTTGAACAAAAAAGAGTAGATACTTGTTTCTGATAATCCCATTAACCCAATGATGTATCACTTACCTAACCATTGGTTCAGAAGTCACCAGCCTATTTGAAAGATAGTGGTAATCCGATTAATATTCGGAGGGGGGTACGGGTGGGGGGTACCTGCATCGTGGCACGTATAGATGTTAACTCCCAATACACAAATATTAAGTAGGAAGATGCATTAGAAGCCGTAAGGTGGTCCTTACGCAAAGCCACAGAGATCAAAATTAAGGAGAAAGAATTTTCGCTGCAAACTTTAGACTTAGCAATGAGTCATCACTTTTTTTGGCATAAGGGGCACTATTATAGTAGTCATGGGAGCGAAGTATGCACCCACAGTGGCTAATCTTTTCATGAATAAATGGGAGCGTGCATCTATTTATAGGAATAGAAAGCCCGAGTTAACATTGTATAAAAGAGTCATTGACGATATTTGTATTGTCTGGGAGGGGACAAGGGTATCTTTGACAAGTTTTATTAGACATATGGGAATGAATAAATACAATATAACTTTTTCAGAAAGTGTGAGTACTAACTCAATTTTTTAGACCTCACCATTTTTAGGAAGAACGATAGGTTGTACACACGTACATACTTCAAGGAAGTGGATAGGAACGACGCATAGCTGTCACCATTAGGGTCGGCTCAAAGCTATACCTAAGAGCCAGTTTATACGGATTAAACGCAACTGTGATTTAGATAAAGATTTTTTGGAACAAACTGATATTTTGATAAAAAGGTTTGGAGGAAAAAGGATATAAAAGTAAGGAGTTGTTGAATACAAGGGATATAGTGATGGATATGGATAGGGAGGATCTTCTAAGGGAAAAGGAGGGAATTTTAATTTGGTATTTATTTCAGGTTTTTCAAAACACCATAAATTGGTTGAGAATATTTTTAGGGACCGCTGGACAATATTACTGCAAGATGAGGTATCGGGGAGGCTTTTACCAAAGCACCACAAATTCATTTATAGGAGACCGCCAACGATTAGGAATAAACTTGTGAGAAATGACCCAGACCTACCTTCCGAGAAAATTACTTTTTGGGATCGGGTGGGATTTTTTAAATGTGGGAGGTGTATGGCTTGTAAAGTGATGAAGGGTGACAGGGATAGGAAAATCTTACAAGTTCTGTCACGGGCAAAAGGGGAGTAAGATAATATTTGGAAATTTGTTTCATGTGATAGTCATCATGTAACTTATCTGTTGGAATGCCCCTGTCGCCTTCAATACGTGGGAAGAACAACTAGAAAATTATCTGTAAGACTTGGTGAGCGCATTAGAAAAGGTTTTAGGCATCGCAGTTTGTCCTATCATTTTAGGAAGTGGCACAATAGGGATCCATCTTTGCTCAGGTTCTGTGGGATCGACAAAGTTGAGCCTCATTGGCATGGTGGCAATATGACTAGGTCGTTTTCACAGAATGAGCCAAGATGGATCCTAAAACTGAATACTTTATCCCCTGAATATAGATGAATATCTAAGAATAATAATAATAATAATAATAATGAATCCCTGAATAGCTGAATATAGATATTGATCTTACTTGTTTCTTGTCCAATTGGTAGTGTCCATTAAATATGAATTTTTGGAGTTTCTTTTTTTTTTTATTGTTTCTATATATATTTATTATTTTTGTTTTTAATATTTATTTTTATTTATTTTCATTTTTTATTTATTTATTTTGTTGTATTATTTTCCCTTTGTATTAGAATTATTGTTTGGGTTTATTAGATTAATTAGTATGGAGTACATTTTTGTTATTATTATGATTTAAAATAAAGAGAGAGGTAGTAGTTAGTCGTCTGTGGAATTAGATTATCGATATTGGTATATGTATGCTGGCTTGGAGATTGTAACTGGAAAGTGGATTGGAAGGATAAGGTGATACAGGGTTTATAGGATGGATTTGACTTAATGGAAAAAGGGGAGTAGTGGGGAGGTATAAAGGATGATAGGAGCCGGAAAATGGTGTCTTTGATAACGCACTAGAGGAGGGCAAAACGCATCGACGTGGTGACGTCATGTCCGGTTAGCGGAGCGCACGCTGGTTTGCGGCGCTCTGGAGTGACTTCCTGCTTGTCTAGAGGGGATTTATGCTTAACACGGCCAGTTCGCTTCAACAAATGGAAATATGTCATAGCGTATGAGCCTCTGTGCCTATTATGAAAGTCAGATTATACTTTTTATCACGAGTGCATAAAAGGAGGCCTTTTTTTAAAATTAAAGCGTTTTTTTTTACAGTATTGCACTCTTTTGTTTTTTTCATTTTTTTTGTTTTTCAGTGCCATTTAATCGTGGGAGTCGTTTCTGGAAGATATTGAGTACAGATATATCTGGGAGGACTTGCCCAGTCATTTAAGCCCATTGACTCTTTTGCCATATCGGCAGAGTCCATTCCATCTGGTGAGTGGGGATTGAGCATTAATCACAGATGTTGTGAGCACATTTGTTTGAAAAATTTTGGAGCAGTTTTTTTTTGGGGTTTGAACACAATTTCTATATTTACAAAAAAAATTTTTGGACTTTATTTTGGACTTTTTTCTCAGAGGATCTATTTCAATTTATTTACGCCGTGGAGCATTTATAATTTTATTTGATGAGTTTTTTCCCCCTTTCTTGAACAGCAGCATTTACATTTTGATGCAAGTTTATATATTTTTTTATGTGGCGCAAGTTTATTTTTATTAATTATTTTGGCTGCGCCCCCAAGTTGGTCGATCAAGTTTGGTACATTCAGCCTGACCGTACGTGTTTTGAATCTTGGCCGGTCCCTGCTGAACCGGCTGAGATGCAAACCGCCTACGGCTGACTTTAGTATGTGAATGTGTATATTTGAACTGGAGAAAAGAGCAGAGCGGTGTCCCTGCCACCTCTCGCCAAAGAGATTTCAGGTCAGTTTAGAGAGCGCAGAAAGACGATTTCTGATTAGAGTACTGAAATTGGAACACCGGTTCAATAAGAGAAAAGTATAACTGTAGACAATGTTGAAGCACACAGTACCCCTCTTGCAGTTCTTCTTTCAGCAGTAAAGGCTGCAGGTCGGCTGGCCAAGGATTGCACTCCGGAGTGAGGGTTGCCTGGAAGTGGGGGCTGGAGAAAATCTCATTCAGGAGGTCTTCGTTCTCATATGCGCAAGCAGCAAAAGCTTCGTCGACGCTAAAATTGGAAATATCGCAAATCAATGAAAAAAAATAAAAGGATAATACAATTCAAAACAAAGAAAACATTGGGCGTGTTTGTGATATCCGCAGACTAATCCAAAGCATTTAAATAAAAGTAGCTTAATTTTTACAAAAAAGATGGACAACATCTTAATCCTGATGTGTCCTCTATAGGGTGGACGATCTTCACATTTTAGTCCAATGTTTAGAGATGGGATATTAAACAGCCAGGTTATGATCGGTTACATACAGTTATTTGAACTTCATACGCATTCCTGAAAAACTGGACTTCCGGGAAATGCGTGGGACAAAAATCACCAGACTGCGCTTGAGTACTTGTTAGAATACCGCTTCCCCGTCCAAACACCGACAACAGACACCGCAGCCGACCGTACGAGACTAGACGACACCGGTCTTGAAGTAAACCAGGAGGTAGACTAGTTTATTTGAATACAGATACAAGATATATACGCTCAAGGGGACAATCCCCCCTCCCTGCATAATGACGTAGCACGGGGAAATCTACATTTAGTAACAAGAGACACACAGGTATTCAAACTTCACACCAACAGGCAGTCCCGACAACCCAACAGGAGGGAGGGCTGCTGGAGACACCCCCCCCCCCCCCCACTAAGCTAATACATAAACACATTACATCCCATAACAGTTTGCTCCCAAGCCAGACAAACAATAGAACAATGGGATGCAACTACATAACATTAAACAATCGACAACCCCCACCCCACCTATCTCCTAAACATGTCTACAGGGTCTGAGACAAAGCCCACACGCTATTAGGACAGATCGCCCTGTACCCCTTAACAGGCACAGGGTTATTTACACGTAAGAGGGATATGGGGAGCTGAGACGGAGGTCTCTCCACCTCTCCAAAGTGAGCTGGGTTCCATGGGCCTCCCACCCAAAGTGACTCCCGTTAACAGACGATATCTGATGTTTGACAGGTAATCGTTAAGACTGCCAATGGGTCTGGTTTCAATCTCATGGTTACATACCAAGAAACGCAACACGCTACATTTTGCCTACTGTGTACAAAACACAACCCCCCAAAAAGATTTTATTGGCCATCTCGATAAGAAGGTGGAAAAGTCCTCCACTTCGTGTGTAATTCTCACTAGTGGGAATAGTGCCTCTAGTATCATGTCTAATAGTGACTAAGTGGATAAACAGCTGCATCTGGACATGTGGGTGGTTTGAAATCGCAATGACTGCCCAGTGAATTCCCCTTGGACTTATGCAACTAGCAGGTTTTCTGTTTTTGTAAAATAACCTTTTCGCTTCCGCGTTGCGTAAATAAAACAGTAAAAAAGTCAGATGTGCTCTCCCGTGACCCAGGATCATCCGACAGCAGGCTAAAGCTCACTGTCGGCTGAAGTCACAGAACTGCCCCAGACTCTAGAAGGATCCAGGCGTCCCGGGATCTAACGAGATGCCCGATCAGCAAAAGGCTCGGCCTCTCGGTACGCCGCCGAAAAACTGAAACAGTCCCTCCCACCCCCTCTCCTATCCGGTACGCCGACGAGTGCTGGAGGGGCAGAGCAGAAAGCTGTGACGGACAGTCACCGTGCTCTTCTCACAGTGGACCGAGAACTGAGCGATCGGCTGTCGTGCTAGTACCAAAGTTATAGCTGGCAAGGGCAAGAGCGATGCTGCAGCATGGAAGTGAGCATGTATGTATTTTGTTTCTGTATTTCCACACTTCTTTAAATCTATTTTAATAATTCCAGGATGTTACAATACAAAGCATGGAACAATCCAGGTGTGTGTATTGCTTCTCTTTGTAAATGCCCCTACTGCCTCCCATGTCAGATAAAATAGATGAGCGATTACTGCAAAAAGATAATCTTCGGTTTCCATTAGACTGAAAGTGGTTTGTAAAGGCTGAAGGTTTTTAACCTTTGTGCGTGAAGATAAAAAACCTTCTGTGTGCTGCTCCCCCCCCCCCCCCAATACTCAATCTGAGCCCAATCCAGCGATGTGCACAAGAGCTTCAGCTGTCCTGGGTCTTTTTCTCCTCGTCGGCTGAGACACGGCAGCAGAAGCTATTGGCTTACAATGCTGTCAATCACAGCCAGTGAGGAGAGAGTGGGGCTGATTCACGCCTCTATGTGTCTTATAAACTCAAGAGTATAACTTGGGAGCGAGCACGCAGAAGTGCTCCCATAGCAAGCGGCTTCAACCCTGGTCAAGTGGGAGGAGCAAGGAGCGCCAGCAGGGGACCTGAGAAGAGAAGGGCTGGGGCTGCTCTGTGCAAAACCATTACACAGAGCAGGTAAGTACATGTTTGTTTTAAAAAAAAAAAAAAAAAGCCAAATATTAACCAGTTGCCGACTGCAGGTAGCCGAATGATGGCTGCACTGTGGCCGGTCAGTTCTGGAAGGGCGTCATATGGCGTCCTTCCAGAACGTGCTCTCCTGCGTACCCGCCGGGGGCGCACACCCAGCGATCTCCGTGATCGCTGTTTCCACGTGATGTGGTAAAAGGCCAATCGCAGCAGCCTATTATCACGTGATCAGCCGTGTCCAATGACACCCTGAACACCGGGAAATGCAATTGCCGGTTCTCGAATGCACTTTCCTCACGCTGTCAGAGCGTGAGGAATGTACCGCCGAGAACCGGCAGTTGTCAGAGCAGGGATCGGCACCGATCGTCAGGGCGCTGATGATCGGTGCCCTGATGATCGGTGCCCAGCAGTGCCGCCCACCAGTTACACCAAGCAGCGCTGCCCAGTGTCATCCTGCAGTGCCCACCAGTACAGCCTAGCAGTGCCCACCAGTGACGACTATCAGTGCAGCCTCATCAGTGTAGGAAAAGAATTAACTGTTTACAAAATTTTATAATAGAAAACAAAGAAAATTTTTTTGGGGTTTGCCAATTTTTGGATCTTTTTTTTTTTTGTTTATAGCGCAAAAAATAAAACACACAGCAGTGAGTAAATACCACCAAAAGAAAGCTCTATTTGTGAGAAAAAAAATGAAAAAAATTTCATACTAGTACAATGTTGCATGACCGCGCAATTGTCATTCAAAGTGCAACAGTGCTGAAAGCTGAAAATTGGCCTGGTAAGGAGGGCTGGTAAGTGGCAAGTAGGCAAGTGGCTAATATCACTAGGGATGCTCCCATACAGATATTGGTGCCGGGAGTACTTGTACTTGTGAAAATACTCCCGATACCTTAACTGATCCTTTGTGGTGCGATTTGCATTAATGGACGCAAATTGCATTGCAAAGATTAGCATGCGATTTGAACAGAAAATCTTTATTTTTTTTTTCAATATCGCACACGGTCTCCACACTGTTCCTATGTGAACCCAGGCTGGTCATAGCCCAAGTTCACACAGGAGAGGTGCGGGAAACCTCCCTGCGGGAATCCCATGCCGAGTCTCAGTGGCAGGAGAGGAAACAAAGTGGAGGGGATTTGAAATCCCTGCCGCTTTCTTCCCTCTCCTTGCAGCGATGACAGTTCGGGCTAGACGGCATCTGATTGGTCAGCGCTGTCCTCAGATTTTGGTCCATATTGACACAATAGCATCACGCGATTGCTGCGGATTTGTCAGCTGAGCATCCGTGAACCGTTGATACGAGGCAGGATGGACCCTTGCTTTCGTGTCTTTTACACCAAATTCTGACCCTACCGTCTGAAGGTCACGGCTGAAATCTAGACTCAGACCAGGCAACATTTTTCCAATCTTCTATTGGTGCAATATTGGTGAGGCTGTGTGAATTGTAGCCTCCGTTTCCTGTTCTT